TTTTTTTTTATCCGACCTTAGCCCTCAAGAAACCCGTCGACAATTGTTCGTCGTTGGGCCAAGTCAGTGACGTCTAACATAAATACAAACAAAAACAAAAACACAAAACTAAAACATACTTAATGCATATATACACTAACAATACACACACTAAATCAAGTCTCCCACCCCACACAAAAAGAATATGGCATGTCCCCATGTCATAAAACAATGAAAGCGCAGAAGGGTAAGAGAACTTCCCTGGTCATCAGTCGGAGTCAGAGACGGTGTTGGGGTACAATTTACAGGCCCTCCCTATAGCGCGGAACCAAGCCATCATCCGGCTCTCATACCTGGCTTGCCGTCTAGACATGGCATCCAAACATACATGCAGGCCATCCACCGAGGTGCGAAGTTCTGCCACCTCTTCCTCCAAAGAAGGCAACCTGGGTTGGCTGGAGTGTGATCTAGAGAACTCCGCCCCAGTTTGGGGTTGCCGAGAGGATCCGACAGCATCATAAGATCTCCTGGGTGGTGCCATGGGTGCTGAGACATCATCATCGTCGTCAAGCTCAATGGGAGTGGGTGCATCTCTGCCCACTTTGATCTTCGAAGCTCTGAATGTTGTTTTTGTGGGAAAAGTTCCATCCGTAGGACTGGCGGGGACATCAACCAGCAGACATAACCTCGTCACAAGTGAGGGGAAGTAAAACCCCTTAGTCATTAGAGGTGACCGGAGGATCATTTCATCTCCAATGATTTTCGCAACATCAACGTCCTTCTTGGTTACGAAGCACCAAACCAATAGAGCCCGTAAGCTGTTCACATCTGACGTGTTGCCCGTGGGCAATAACCTGCTGCAAATAATGGTGAACCAGTATTTAGCCTCCCGTGTGAACGACTTTGAATGAAGGGTCATGTACTCCTGTATCAAAAATGGTCGTCCCCCTGAGCATAGTGACTCAATCAGAGTGTCCCAATCGACCCCTGGGGAATTGTGGTAATAATCAGTGTCACCAGTGAACGGAGGCAGCTGCAAGACCTGGCGAATCTTCGGTAATGAGGCATCTACCACTTTGCCCTGCACAACCACAGAACGGCACATATGTTCCGGGAAGTTCGCGTAGAACTCCCGGACTATCATTGGGTTGGCCGTTTCACGTTCCCCGAACAAGAACTCCATCACCCTCCGTCTGATTTCCTCGTACATGTCCGGTTTTTCTACACGGAGGGAAGCCCTGTCAATAGCGATCTCAGGGACAAAGCTTTTTGTAGCTTTATCATGAAACCTGTCCTCTGCCTCCTCGGACGCGAACCGGGTGGCATCATACGTCGGCACTGCGGAAGTGCTTTCCGAGTTCCTACGCTTCTTTCGGGCCATAGTACCTGCAATCAATTCAGCATAACGATCAGGGGCAGCCAAACATGTGCCAGTCGGATGGATACTCAGACTTCAACCCCCGCTGGCACCAAACAGTTCCCTTTTTGTCAAGCATGGCCAGTATAACCATCTAGTAAGGTGACAAAGTGGACAACATCCACTATTGCCCCCACACCACTATCAATGCCACAATTCCGCCATATAAGACCCCCCGCAAGCTTCCACAAATTAATAATAGTTAAGTGCTACCACCACCCACCCCACACAAAAATTGTCAACTAGGAACACACCCCCGCATCTACACAAATCAACCCCAAACACCATCTACAATACCAAACTTGGAGTCTAAAACCCCATTGCAACCAAAATCAAGAATTCTACACAATAATCACTACATAATGCAAAGTACATAAAACACAAAAAAAAGTAGAACAACTTACTTGAAGATTACCGTGGAGTCTTGGGGACAAATTTGGGGGGTTGTGNGGGGGAGGGTTGTGGAGAGGTAGGGTTTGGTTGGAGAAAGGAAAAAAGAAGAAGGAATAAAAAATGGTGGTTTTGGTTATGGGAAGAAGAAGAATGAAGAGAGAGTGGGTTTTGGGAAGAAGAAGAAGAAGAAGAAGAAGAAGAAGAAGAAGAAGAAGAAGAAGAAGAAGAAGAAGAAGGAAGAAGGAGGATTTTGGGAAGAAGAAGGAAGAAGGAAATTGAGAGAAGAGGAGAAGAGGAGAGAAGTGGAGCAAAAGTGGGCGGTGGGTTATGGGGAGGGCGGGGTTAGGTTAGGTTAATTAAAGGGGGAAAAGAGAAAAAAAAAACAAAATTCCTGCAGATCCTACCTGGGCCTGGTCCGACCTACCGCAGTGGACCAACTTCAGAGAGGGTCTCTGACCGCGGTCCCACCGCGGTTACGCCGCGACCGCGGTGGACCAACTTCAGAGAGGGTCTCTGACCGCGGTTATGTCGCGACCGCGGTGAGCCTGTTCCTGGATGCTAATTTCGGGGTTCTTTTCATTGTTTTGCCCCTTAGGCACTATTTTTACCTCTTTTAATGCCTACCTTTCCCATGTTATGCCCAGGCTCGTGATGCAAAGTCCTCCGCACTATCCTGCATATATACAATATGTTTGAAATTATACTATCGTGGGTTGCCTTCCATGAAGCGCCTGATTTAATGTCGCGACACGACGCAGCACGAGCGCAATTAAGATTCGCTCAACCTCTCTTTTTTTTTACATGACATTACAGACAACACTTACAACACATTCGTGGGTTGCCTTCCACGCAGCGCCTGATTTAACGTCGCGGCACGACGCAACACGAGCGCAATTAAGGCTCGCTCGACCTCTGAGGTTCAGTCAGGTGGATCTCAGACCCTTCCTTTGGTTCGTTCATGCCTACATATAGTTTCAATCTCTGCCATTGACTCTAAATGTACGAGAGTCTTTCTCTGCGGCAATCTCTACAACACCTGAAGGGAATACTTCAATCACTCGAAACGGTCCAAACCATCTTGACTTAAGCTTACCAGGGAACAGCCGTAATCTTGAGTTATAGAGCAATACCATGTCTCCGGGTTTGAAATGTCGCTCAACAATGTTCTGGTCATGTAACCTCTTCATTCTTTCCTTGTACAATCTTGTTCTCTCAAAAGCAAGATGTCTGAACTCGTCAAGCTCATGCAAGTCAGTGATTCTAGTTGTGCCTGCGGGCTCAATATCTAAGTTCAGCTGCTTCACTGCCCACCACGCTTTATGTTCAAGTTCCACTGGCAGGTGACATGCCTTTCCAAACACCAACTTATATGGTGACATGCCAATTGGTGTTTTAAAAGCAGTTCTGTAGGCCCAGAGTGCATCATCTAGCTTTCTCGCCCAATCAGTTCTTGTGGCGTTCACAGTCTTGGTTAACACACTCATTATCTTTCTGTTGGATACTTCAACCTGCCCACTAGTTTGCGGGTGATAAGGGGTGGCCACCTTGTGGCGTACATCATACTTTGCAAGCAACTTCTCGAAGGCTCTATTGCAGAAGTGAGTGCCTCCATCACTAATAATCGCTCTTGGTGTCCCAAATCGGGTGAATATGTTCTTTTTCAAAAATCCCGCCACTACTCTTGCATCATTAGTGGGCAACGCAGTAGCTTCTACCTACATGGACACGTAATCCACAGCAACAAGTATGTATTTATTGCCAAAGGAGCTGACGAAGGGACCCATGAAGTCAATCTCCCAGACATCAAACACTTCCACCTCTTGAATCGGGTTCATGGGCATCTCGTGGCGACGGGAGATGTTCCGAGTTCACTGACATTCATTGCAGCCCTTCACCCATAGGTGCGCATCTCTAAACACTGTCCGGCCTCAAGAACTTTCGCAGCTGTCCTGACCCTTCCAAAATGTCCTCCATATGCCGATGCGTGACAAGCCTACAAAACAGAAGATTGTTCTATCTCGGGGACACACCTCCGGATCATATTGTCAACACATATTCTAAACAGATAAGGCTCGTATCAAATACATGCGGCTATCACGATAAAAGTTTTTTCTTTGGACAGATGAGAGGTCATAAGGAACTATACCACTGGCCAGGTAATTACCAAAGTCTACATACCATGGCGCTTCCTCAAGACTAGTAGCGAGCAGCTGCTCGTCTGGAAAAGTTTCCAGAATATCCTCAACCTCAACCGCATTTTCAGCTCCCTCAAGTCGAGATAGATGATCAGCGACTTGATTCTTTGTGCCCTTACGGTCATGAATTTCAAGGTCGAATTCTTGCAGTAGCAACACCCAATGAATCAGGCGCGGCTTAGACTCTTTCTTCTCAATCAAGTACCTGAGAGCTGCATGGTCAGTGTATACAATTACCTTAGACCCAATCAGATACGATCTGAACTTGTCGAAAGCGAACACCACAGCCAACATCTCCTTCTCAGTGACAGTGTAGTTCAGCTGGGCTCCACTCAGCGTTCTACTAGTATAGTATATTGGATGCATCAGCTTGTCTTTCCGCTGTCCCAACACTGCCCCCACTGCGTAGTCACTAGCATCACACATCAGTTCGAACGGTGATGCATCACACATAAGTTCCCAATGCTGTGACCAGCCTCTTTTTCAGCTCCTCGAATGCTACCCTGCAATCATCAGAAAACAAGAAAGGGTGATCTTTTTCTAACAACTTACAGAGAGGGTTGGCAATTTTGAGAAGTCTTTTATGAATCGCCGATAGAAACCGGCATGCCCGAGGAAGCTTCTGATTGCCTTGACTGAAATCGGAGGGGGTAGCCTTGCTATCACATCTACTTTCGCACGATCCACCTCAATTCCTTTGCTTGACACCCGGTGCCCCAAGACTATACCCTCTTGTACCATAAAGTGGCACTTCTCCCAATTCAGAACCAGGTTAGTCTCGATACACCGCTTCAGCACACGAGTCAGATTTATCAGGCACTCATCAAATGAGTTCCCCACCACTGAGAAGTCATCCATGAACACCTCCATTATATCCTCTACCATGTCAGTGAATATGGCCATTATGCACCGGTGGAATGTGGCGGGTGCCGTGCATAGGCCAAAGGGCATCCTCCGAAAGGCATATATGCCATACGGGCAAGTGAAAGAGGTCTTCTCTCTGTCCTCCGGTGCAATGGAGATCTGATTGTACCCTGAGTACCCATCCAGAAAACATAAATGTGACCTCCCTGCCAATCTGTCTAACATCTGATCAATGAAGGGAAGTGGGATGTGGTATTTCCGGGTGGCTAGATTTAACTTTCGATAGTCCATGCAAATTCTCCAGCCCGTGACGGTTCTTGTAGAGATCAGTTCATTGTTATCATTCTTAACTACCGTCATGCCACCTTTTTTAGGAACACATTGAACTGGGCTAACCCAGCTGCTGTCAGAGATTGGGAAAATGATTCCCGCATCTAACCACTTGATTACTTCTTTCTTCACCACTTCCTTCATATTGGGGTTCACCCTTCTTTGGTGTTCCCTGGAAGGTTTGTGTCCCTCTTCCAGTAGAATTTTGTGCATACAGTAGGCGGGGCTGATCCCCTTTATGTCTGCCATGGTCCACCCAATGGCAGTCTTGCACTCCTTAAGTACCAGCAACAGTTGTTGAAACTGCACATCTAACAAACTAGATGAGATAATAACAGGTAATGTGGAGTTAGGTCCAAGAAATTCATACCTGAGATGGGCGGGCAATGGTTTTAACTCCAGCTTTGGTGGTTCTTCGATTGATGGCTTGACTGGAGGAGTTTCTCGATTTTCCAAGTGCAAGGGCTCAAATTCTAGAGTTCTATCCCAGAACCCTCTACCCTCTAGCGCCAACACCCATTACGCCAGATCCTCTCCATTTACCTCATCCAAATTCATTAAACGTGCAGCAAGGGGGTCCTCAATTGTCAGCCTTTCATCGTCAGTCTCTACAATTACATCCACGGCATCAATAAGAGAGCAATTGGCGAATTCACTTGGTCACCTCATAGATTTCTACACATTGAATGTTATTTCTTCATCGTTTTATCTCATCTTGAGCTCCCCAGTCTCACAATCAATTAGAGCTCTCCCCGTGGCCAGGAACGGTCTTCCCAAAATTATGGGAATCTCTTCATCCACCTTGAAGTCTAGGATCACAAAATCTGCAGGGAACACAAATTTCCCTACCTGAATCAGCACATCATCCAGGATACCAGAGGGTCGTTTCACAGTCCAGTCAGCCAGCTGCAACAACATAGAGGTGGGTCTAGCTCTTCCAATGCCCAGCCTCTTATAAATTGCCAGGGGCATAAGATTGATGCTGGCCCCTAGATCACACAGTGCCTTAGCAAAAGCAAAATTACCAATAGTGCATGGAATTGTAAAGCTCCCTGGGTCAGACAGCTTTTCCGCAATTGGTCTAGTTACCACTGCACTACAGGTCTGAGTAAGAGTAACTGTGGCCATGTCTTGAAAATCAAACTTCTGGGACATCAAGTCCTTCATCATTTTTGCATAAAGAATATATAGAATTAGAATCGATTTTTTTAGCATTTAACCCCCTTTTATTTTATGGATTTCGTTGTTCAAAAAATGATTTGTAGAGAAGAGAGAGATTTTTTTTTCGGATTTTTGAGTAGAATACGATTGTGAAGTGTATAAGAAAAGAAGGTTTGTATGGCTTAACCACGTGTGGAGATACAAAACCTTTATCACTTAGTTTTCGACTTTTCAGGAATATCTTAGCTGATGAATTAGTAGTTGTTGTTCTTGTTTCTTTAGTACCTTTAGTAGTTCCTATACCTGTCATGCTCCTTGGCTTATTTAC